AAGAGACCACACAACCCCTTAGCTCTCATACCTAGGACCACAACCAACGGGCAGCCCTGGTGCTCTTGGTGTCAACCTTAAAAGACCTTGACCCTGACTCACTCTCTGAATGAGGGTCATTCTACTCAAATGATTCAGAGAAAATCAATCACATAGATCATGCAAAGTCTTTTGACGACATAAATCTCTCGCTAAAAGAGATAAACTTGGAGTTCGAAGGACCCCCAAGTGAGATTAGAGACATTCTCAGGGAAAATGCAGTAAGGAAGGATAGAAGCAATATGGAGCTCAAATATCTCTTGCAATATAACCTATGACAAAAACATTCTCAAAAAAAAATATAACTTATGACAAATCAAAAGCACCAACTAGGCTTAGCGATCCAGTTCCTCCTCATTGGAAGAACCTTCAAGGTGATACTCGTTCAAGTGTCACCTCTCCCAACCCCCCAATCCCGATGAGCACGTTAACTTGGAACATTAGGGGTCTTGGAGACCCTCATAAGAAGGCGGCTGCCTTACTCTAGTGAAAACACATAAACAGGAAATTCTCTCACTCGTAGAGGCTAAACTCGAACATTCCTCCCACTCTAAGGCAGGAGGCCAAGAAAATGGGAGGCTATCCCAGCTCAAGAAGTCTCGTGAGGAATATGGAAAATTTGGGACCCCTCATAAGTCATCTCACAAAACGCTAGACCTAGCCTAGATTCCTCTGGCAATCCATTGGATTTTGTCGCTCCTCGGATCAGATGACTACCAGCATGTTGGCTTTCCCAACCATGCATCAAACCCAAACCTCACAAAGATAGATAGGTTCCTCATCTCCCCTGAGTGGGAGTTCTTATTTCCTAGGTTACACTCCCTAGCTCTTCCTAATATTGCCTCGGACCATCCTCCCATCTTTCTGGATACATAACCTATTGCAAGGGACCAAAACCCCTCTATGCTTCAAACAATGTAGCCAGAAGAGGCAGAACCGCTCATGTTAATCCCTGATTGCTGGAAGTCATTCTCAGTCATAGGTTGTTGAAAGCCAAACTTGAGAAATGGAGCTATCATCAGTTCAGGAGTCTTCATGATAAGGAAACAGCCCTCCTTCTGGAAATTCAGACTTGGAAGGTCAAAGACAGACCCTTTCCTCCTTATAAAGAGCCCCATAGGTCAGAGGCAAAGGTTGCTTTAAGCAAGGCAGTAAAGCAGGAAGAAATGTACTGGTACAAAGCTCAAGTTTCTAGTGGCTCAAGGAAGGTGATAGAAGCACTTCCTTTTTCCACAAGATGGCTAACTGCAGAAGGAGGTCTAATCCAATCTCTCAGGTTCAGAGGGGGAAAAGACCCTTTCTGATCCCAGACAAGAAAATGACATCAGTGTTCGTTTTTTCAATAAATTGTTTACTGCCCAAACCCATCCACAGTTTCAATTCAATAATCTGAAATTTAAAAACCTTATCAGAAACCAAGGCGGCATCTTAGAACAACCTTTCTCAGTGCAAGAAATTAAGAAAGGCATCACTGAATTGGGCAAGGAAAAGGTGTCTGGCCCTAATTGATTCCAATTGCCATTTTTAAACAATTCTGGATTTACTTGCCTTCACCTCAGAATTCCATCATGGCGGTATCATTCACAAGGGAAGAACTCCGCGTTTATAGCCCTAGTGCCAAAAATTGAACAAGAAAGATGAGAGATTTCAGATCCACTATCTTGTTAAATAGCACCCTAAAATTCTTGCCAAAGTTCTGGCCACCTTTCTAAGGGATGTGTTAGTCTCCATAATCTCTCTTAAGCAGGGTGCATTTTTCAAATACCGCCAAATACATGAAGGTTGGGCTTTGATAGCCCATGAATATATCCTCTATAGGGGCATCAATCTAAGATCCCGAATTTAGTCCTGAAATTCGACAGGGAGAAATCCTACGACCATGTCAATTGGCTTGTCTTAGACAAGGTGCTACATTTAATGGGTTTTGGGCAAAAATGGCAAACTCAAATCTCAAGCTATTTTTAGTCTTCAGTTTTCCTGGTCCTCATTAATGGTACACCACACAGATATTTCCCAGCCTCTAGAGGACTGCAACTAGGGGACCCTCTGTCCCCAATCTTTTTTGTGGCTAAAGTCTTCAGCACATCCATTTCAAACCTGTACGGCCAAAACATCCTCCACAGTTTTAAAACATCCAATAAGGGACGAGCTATATCCCATTTAAATCCAAAGATGACACCTTGATGTTATGGAATGTTGAACCCCAGCAGATAGACAAGTTATGGGTGTTCATAAGATGCTTTGAGTTGGCCATAGATTTGAAAGTAGTAAAGTACATATGGACCAAACTAAGATCATGGGAGAAATACTCACTGCCAAGCAAATACCTGGGATTGCCCTTATGCATAGGGAGATCAACGATACAGCAATGGAATGGAGTTAGGAAAGATTCAAAAGAGGGTTGGCCTCTTGGAAAGGGAGGTTCTTTTGTAGGGTAGCAGACTGAACCTCATCAAGGTCACTCTCTCTAGTATTCCAAATACCCAATATTCCATCCATCCTGCTTTTGCATGCCAATGAGGGTTATAAACAATCTTGAGAAGCTCATGAGGGAGTTATTGTGGTTGGTTACAGGAGATAACCATAAAATACACCTTATCAATTGGACCCCAGTATGCAAGTCTAAAAAAGCATGAGGTCTCAGTATTGGAGCAATGAAGGACATGAACATTGCTCTGTCAGGAAAGTGGCTTTAGCGATTGCAAGTTAGGAGAGAACTTTGGAATATGGTCATCCAGCAAAAATACAGGTCTGATGAATCGTAATGGCTACCAGAGAGCAATACCAAGCCCGAATTCAAGTGCTTGGAAAGGAGTACTCTCCACCTTGACCCCTTTTGCAAACAAGCTGCGCCTACTACCAACATCAGGCAATAGGGCACGCCTTTGGACTGATGCTTGGCTAGGGGAATCAAGCCTTCAAAATCAGTTCCAGTCCCCATTCACAATCTTTTCAAATGAAAATTGCAGTATTGCAGATATTACATAACCGCTAGGATGCTATATGGTATGGACTCCCATATTTAGAAAAGAACTTAATGACAATGAACTGCCTGTCCTTAAGCAACTGCTGTACTCCTTGCAGGCTTTCTTCCTACCTGGTCAAGGACATATAGGCCACTATGGAGCCCCACTTTGTGGGATACATTTAGTGTGACATCTTTCTACTCTCTCATAAGAGATGAGCTCATGGCCAATCGATCACCAGCAGGGATTGGTTCCCTCCAGCCCCTCAATCCAAATTTTTGAAAGGCTGGCCCTACACAAGAAGATCATCACAGTGGATCAGCTACAAAAACGAGGCGTTGCTATGCCTCATCACTGTATCCTCTGCAAGGAGAGTAAAGAGTCAGTTGACCAAGTAAAGAGTCAGTTGACCATATCTCCCTCCGCTGTCCAACTGTGAGGCATATGTATGTTGTCAACTGCAAGTGTTAGAAGGCAATTCGGTGATTCCAGGAACAGTGCAACAAGCAAACAACTTTTTCAGACTTACTTGTCCCTCCCCAGCAGAGGGCTGGTTTAAGCCTTTCGAGAGCATCTGTCCTTGCCTTCTTATGAAACAACTAACTGGAAAGTAATAGGAGGATTGTTGAAGGATATGAACAATCTATACACTCAGTGAAGGATGACATTGAGACTGCTGTAAGTGAATGGGCAAGACAAGTTAAGATATTCAGGGAGTATTCCACCTCCGACTTCATCCTAAACTAGGAAGCCCTTCCTAGAACCGAAAGAACAGCCATCACTGGGTCAGACCTTTGGTCAGCCCCATAGCCAGGCACGATCAAACTCAATGTTGATGGGTGTTCCTTCAGTAATCCTGCTACAGCAGGGGTCGCAGGCATCTTCAATGACAGTACTGGTATCACAAACTTGTCATTCTCGGGGCCCATTCGCGTTGCTACTTCATCTGAGACCTCAAATTGTTCACCAAAAGATTGGGCAACTCATTAGTGGTTGAAGGGGGCTATAAAAACACCATCAACAGGGCTAACAGGAAATCTATTTGTATGCGGAGACTAGACCAAATATTTGAGAAAATTTTCACTTTTAGTGCACCACTCAACATCTGATTTTAGCATGTTTGGCTTGAAGCCAATAGCATTGCTGATTGCCTCGCTAAATCAAAACAATTTTGTACACAACCCTTGATATCCGATATTTCTCGGTAAGCCATAGGAGGCTAGATCAAAACAATTTTGTACACAACCCTTGATATCCGATATTTCTTGGTAAGACACTTGTTTTGGAAACTTGGGAGTTCAACCTCCCTCTTTCGTACTGTGTATATGGTCATGCAAGTATGACTAATATGTAAAATTCCATTATAATACCATAAAATCAAGTTCATCAAAAAAAAAAATGCCAAGCTCAAGGGTGTTTTCACCATCCAATTATTGCTGCATGGTAATTGAGAAAAGTGGGACATGCAAGATGTTAGAACATGACAGAGGTTGTAAAATATGAAATCAATGTAGATACAAACTAAATCCATAATTATGGAGAAATAAACATATTGAGCACAATAAACAATAAAGAAATGAAATTTAACTTAATCCCCACAGTTCAAAGATAAATATGATGATATATAACACTAAAGTGACGTGAATAAGGGGGGGGGGAGAGAGAGAGAGAGAGAGAGAGAGAGTAGGGGAAGAGAGAGAGAGAGAGAGAGAGAGAGACGTACTATACAACGTACTAAGTAGAAGTACGACTAAGTACGTAACGAAACTAATAACTAACGAAAGTAAAAGTAAGTAGTAAACG